CACACAGGAGGGAAGAACAGCTGATCCGAATACACATGATGACTGGAGGACACAAGCTGAACACAATGACAACAGACAGAGACCTTCAGAATAAAACAGGAAATCTAGAACACAAACCGGACACAAGGGGGAGGACACAGAATACCAATATCAGAATAACTAGAACAGAGGAAAATAATCATAAAAACACAAAACGCTGGGTCAACGACCCAGCACCATGACAAATAGTGACTTTTCCTAGTAATAATTTATTTTTAAAATATTGTAGCTCAGTTACTAACTCAATTAGTTTTTTGAAGTAACTACTAACTATAACAAATTAATTTTTCAAAGTAATTTGCCCAACACTCGTAATAATATCTAACGCAATTTTTGTTAAGTCTTTACTAAGATGGATTTGCAATGTTTTGATTGTGCTAGAAAGAACAAAACACAAATCAAGAAACAGTCATTTCTTTTCAATTAAGTTACAAACTATTTTGTTGCATTGAGGTTCAGTATCTATACAAGAAATGCAGTTTTTAATACATGTTTAAGTGCTCAGTATTGTATTTGGCTTTGCACTTTTTATCTGCAGGGTAAACAGGAGCATGAAGAAGTAGCTGGTTTGGTTCAGGTAAGGATTTTACTGAATTTCAGATATATTAGCCAACTGCCTGAGACAAAGGAAAGCTTGATTTTGTTGCCTATAGGGTTACATACTGATTCAATATTAATATTAATTAATAGTACCTCCGATTGACATAACTGGATGTCATTACTGCCGACGTAAATTACAGTTTTGCCAAATTTATGTTTACCTTTCAGTTTTACATTTCCCTCAGTGTCACCTGTTCTGGTCGTCTTTGCTGGTTTCTCTAGCCTTACATGTTTCAGAACAGAATCACCAATTACCAGAGTTTGATGCCTGGCAGGTGTTTTCGAAAAGTGGGGAAAAACAGTTAGACACATGAACAGATTGGTGGTGTACCAGGAGCTTCTGTTTAAGACTGTGCTTCGTCCTCATCGTCACCCAGTCATCCTGTTTCCCCGGCTGCTCGGGACAATCTGCCAGAGGGAGCTAACTGGGCCTACGCTACCTTTGGCTCCACAGGTTAAAGGGGCTTGGCTAGCTAAGGGATTTTTGAGGGTGCGAATCAGAGTCTCCAATTCTGCGATCCTGGCCTCCTGTGTCTCACTGGCAGTAATTATTTGTAGAGTAATTTTATTAATTCTTAACTAATATAGATTTAAACTGTTTTTACTGTTGTAGGAAGAACAAACCTCAAATCAGGAAACAGTCATTTCTTTTTAAGTCAGTTTAAAACTGTTTTTTTCCCCCTTCAGATTTAATGTCCATATGACAAATACAATTTTTAATACATGTTTAAGAGCTTAATATTAAACACTGCTTTGCACTTTTTATCTGCAGTGTGAACAGGAGCATGAAGAAGCAGCTGATGTGGTTCAGGTAAGGATTATACTGAATTTCAGACATATGAGCCAACTGCCTGAGACAAAGTAAAGCTCCATTCCCTGGTCTATAGAAACTGACGACTCTCTACAGAAACAAATAAATGACCGAATCTAAAAACTTAATTCATAGGGGGTTGGAGAATATACATTTTGCCCTAGCTAGGGGATTCGCCAACTGTCTCTGTAGGTCTTCATGACGGGGACTTAATTATGTAAAAGAATTGTCTCATAGATGTTTACTAAGAAGAAGGTAATTTATAATGTATCAGCCTGCTGGTTGAAAACATAAATGCATTTAAGTTTGTTGATTGTAAAACTTGTATGTTAGTGTCCTTTAAATGCTGTTAAAGAGCAATGCCAATACAAATAGTAATAATTTCCTGTATAACTCATATTCATCCTCAGGTCTTGCCATCCACAAGTGATACAGGTGAGACACATGCATCGTATTTATTGCATCTCATATTAGTCGGTGTTTTAAAGGCACCAATATTTTTTTGCAATCTACGTAACTTTACTAAGAGTAACTTTCAATGCTTTGTTCTTATTGTTTTGTTGTTTTTATCCAATCAGGAAAGAGAAAATCAGACCTTCAAAGTGATGCCAGCAGGTTGCAGTCACCAGCTAAGCGACAGCGTCAGTCTATGCCAGGATTTGCAGGTATTTACGTCTCTTTTTAAACAATGTCACAGTTTAAGCCACTATAGGGTTAAATTTCTGTTCAGCACAATTTGTCCAACATGCCAGTTTCATCTTTGATGCTAGAAATTACTTTTTCTTTGGTCTGTTGTCAACATTTAACAGTCACATGATGCATGGTATAGTAAGTTTGATTGGTAAGTGGTCACATTATGATCCTGATATACTCTAATTCACACAGGTTTGTTTTTTTTTAAACATGAGATTTTACATTTTCTGTTTATTCTAGTTTATAATTCCTTCTAAATAGTTTTTTTTTTTTTTTTACTTTTTTTGTCTACAGAATCAATCATACTGTCTGATGTGAAAAGCATCATGACATTTGTACATGAAAGACTAAATGAGCAAGACAAACTCAGTGCTTTCTTGAAGTGAGTATTAAGTTTTTTTTAATATTTTGTAATGTATGGGCCTGGTTCCACTCCTGATCGTGTGACAGTTTCACAAACCGATCACAGAGAGATTGTTTTTAAAGAAACCAAAAATTCAGAAAATGGCTGTAAAACATCCTCAGAAGCTGCGAGTTATGTGTAATTGAGTCACACAGAGAAGATGGTCCATCTTTCAAGAGTCTTGACACACACAAAAATAAGCAGTATATTCAGATAATCACAACAATTAAAATAATTCAGTCCAAACAAAATTTATGGATGTCACACTGGTTACACCAAGAAACAGTCACAGGAATGAGTAAGTACATTGATGAGGATTTAGAATCAATACTAATTGCACGTCTTTGGACTGTTGGAGAAAGACAGAGTACCGGGAGAGAACCGAGGCAAACATGGCGATAAACTCAAAATAAAAAGCCCCCAGCCAGATGTTGGTGTGAGACAACAGTGCTAAACATCATGCCACCGTGCCACCTGTACATGAACCCTTTAGGTTTAATATTCACCAATTTGTCTCTTGTGTCAGATTGTATGACACAGACTGCTGACATACAGCAGTACAATTACAGATTCTGAAATAATTCTGTAGTAAAATAAAACAACATATAATAAACAATTTGTGGAACCAGTGTATAAAACTGAAATATCTAGTAATGATTCATTGAATAATCACTACCATGATTATACATTTGAAATCTTTTGAAGCATGCTTAAAAATGTTTCATGACTGAATCCATTAACCATATTTAAAATCTTGTTCAACAGGAAAAAGATCAGTGATTTGGAGACAGACAAGAGGGAGCTGGTTGGCGTCTTTGGTAAAACTGGGGCTGGAAAGAGCTCTTTGATAAATGCCATCATTGAAGAGAAGAATCTTTTACCCTCAGGAAGCATCAATGCCTGCACCTCAGTCATGATAAAACTGGAAGCTAAAACACACAGCTCAAAGTATGAAGCAGAAATTGAGTTTATCACAAAAGAGGTAAAACAAATTCCCAAAGTTTGTTTAGTATGTGTGTTACACTGCAGTTCTGGGGGCTTATGCCTGAGTACATGGCTCAATAAATTGCTTGTCATCTATTTTTGTAGGAGTGGAAAGATGAGTTGTGGTCATTTCGTCAGCTTCTTGACAATAATAAAAATCAGGAAAAGGAAGACGATGATTATCATGATGCTGTTGAAAAGCTGTCAGCACTGTATGGACAAGAATGGAAAAAGTCCTTTGAAAACCTCATGGAGAGCAAATATTTCAAAGAAATTCCAGAATTTCTCCAATCCAAGCGGAAGATTTTGACATGTGAATCAGTAAGACAAACTCATATTACTACTATAACAGACAGCCATGATAGACTACACACTGGGGATGCTGGGGAATGCACACAGGTGAAACCAGGACAACCTGGACAAAAAAGGGAACTGACCAAATTAACAAAAGACTAAGAATTGGAAACATATCTCACTTCTGAAAACAGAATGCAGCATAGATTCAAAAGTCCAAAAAACACAAAACACTGAAAACAGATCCAGTGATCCCAACAAAACAGATCCTACTGAGATCCAACAATGATCTTTAGATGATCACAATCTAAAATTGAAAACTAATTATTCAGCTTTTAGTGATCCAATTTCGTTTAGTATTTTTTTTATGTCACTGACTTTTTAATGGTTTTTGTAAAGCACTCCAAGTTTCAAGTTTATTCATTTATAATGCGCTTTTAAAAACAACAGTTGTTGACCAAAGTACTGTACATCAAGGTTCAAGGTTCAAGGTTCAAGGTTCAACACAGTCAAAGCGGAAGACATACCAAATAAAATATATAGTATTTTCGTTTAAGTATAGATTAAACAAAAATGGAATCATGGAAAGAACAATAGAAACAGTCTCATCTTGATTTAAAAGCCAGAGATTAAAAGTGGGTCTTTAAACGGGTTTTGAAAGTCTCCATTGTTGGAGAGGTCCTGATATGAAAAGGCAATGAGTTCCATAATTTAGGAGCAGTGACGGCAAATGCCCGGTCTCCTCTGTGTTTTAACCTCAACCTTGGGACAACCAAAAGCATTTGGTCAGCAGACCTCAAGACCCTACAAGTCTACCCATCTTTAAGAGTCACTTAAAAGGGCGACTGAGGTACACTCAAACATGTGATCATGTTTACTAATCATGCTTTATATTGGACGTGAAAAAGAGTTAGTGTATTAAAGAAAAGGGAAACAACTATCAGTGTAATGGGTGAGTGCAATATCAGGACAGTCAGGGCATGTGCAATACTGGGGTTTGTGCAATATAATTGATGTGTTTCCGTTATTGTTATCTATATTGTCCTCTGTGTCCACTCTTCTTGTCATTGTTTGTTCTAGTATAATGTGATCACTGTTTTTGTCCTTGTCACATGACCTGTAAATAGTGTCTCTGTATGTTTTTACTAACTTGTGTTTAACACCAATCTGCCAGAGGGTGTGCAGATGGAAATTAGCCCAAGGCTATAACCTGGCATATTTATATTTGTTAAAATGTTCATTGATATGTATTGCCCCTCGTTCTAAATAAAATAAAAAATTTAAAAAAATAAATAAATCTTGGGGGAGAATACCGGGTTAGGAGATCAGCAAGATATATAGGGGCTTGGTCATGTAACGTCTGAAAAACAAGTGTTAAAATTTTTAAAATCAATTAGAAAGCTGACTGGTAGCCAATGTAATGATGCAAGTATGGGAGATGTGTGATCCTGCTTGCGTGTCCCAGTTAGGAGCCGTACTGCAGCATTTTGGACTAGCTGCAGTCGGACAATTAATGTAGCGGCAATACCAGAATAGAGGCTATTACAGAAGTCGAGACGCAATGAGATGAAGGCATGAATTGCTTTCTTAAAATCTCTGAGAAAGCGATCGTCACTTGCACTGAGGATTGAAATTAAACTGCACTGCTTTTGCTGTTTATTGCAGGTTAATGAACTCTCTGCACAATTTGTCAAGTACACAAGAAGTGATTCAAAACAAGGAGAAGGTAATGAAGGAAAAAAGTGGTTTTGGCCACTGGTGAAGTGTGTGACTGTCAGGGTGCCAAACAATCTGTTTCTCCAGCATGTCACACTTGTGGACCTTCCTGGAAATGGTGACTGTAACAAGAGCAGAGATCAGATGTGGAAAGGGGTAATTCACATTTACTGCTCTTTGCTTATACTGTGTTGTCTGTAAACAGTCATCTTTCAATGAAGCACTGAGACATGTTATTCTCCTTTCAGATAGTTGGAGATTGTTCTACTGTGTGGATTGTGACTGAAATTAATCGAGCAGCATCAGAGAAAGAGGCCTGGGAGATCCTGGAAAGTGTCAGTAGTCTGATTGGAAATGGTGGCGAATGTCAGCAAATTCATTTTATCTGCACCAAGTCTGATCTTGTTGATGATTCAGATGATCTGTAAGTAAATTTTGAATGCTGATCAACTACAGGGTGTTTCCATGTAAGATAAACCCAGGCTAGACAAAGAATGAAGCACAGGGTGGAGTCTTTTTTAAAAATTAATACAGAACATTTGGGTCAAAAGCAGTCTCAGATGAGATACAATTTTATGACGTTTACTGAAGATGGTGGAATTAGTAATGAACAGAGAATTCCCTGGCCAGAGTGGAACAGCGGAGAATGGGACAGGCAGTGGATTTTTTAGTTCTAGAGGGACAGCAAGAGAGAAGAGGGTGAGCAATAACAGGAGAGCAGGAGGAGAAAGTGATGTAACTGACATCATGGCAGCTTTTATGTATGTTGCACATAATGTATGAGATTATAGGAAATCGGAAGTCCTTCATTTCCCCAGATTTGAAGGATGGGTCGGGTGTATCCTTCGTGGCCCACCATATCCCAGAATTCATAGCGCGGCCCAGCCTATTCCAGTTTCCAACAATGGCGGCAGCTACTTAGTTTTAATATTACTCATATTACTCTTTCTGGGTCACAAAATAAACTTTCAAGAGATTTTCAGGTGAGAATGTAGCTGTGTATGTGTATGTGCTTGGTTTATCAAAACATCACATATTTGCAAAAGTGCGCCGACTTTTTTGGAGACATCTGTTACCCACCAGCTCGATAACTCGAGAACAGCGAACTCCTGGCACGTCATTTTCAAACCTCACGCGGTCTTTTCCTACTCCGGTTAAACAAGATATATAAATCACTTAGATAACTGAAAATGTTATTGTTTGGCTTTTTTCTGTTTTATTTGTTTGTGAGTAAATAATTTTGGCTGAGATTAAAATATTAATTATATTAGATAAAATAAAACTTTATTAATCCCTTGGGTGGGTTCTTCCAGAGTTTTTACACAGCTGAATAAACGTCAAACAGAAAACTGGTTAAACAGAAGTGTGAGATGATCAAGAATTTACTCCAGTGTCCTGTTATATTTTAGATAGCAAGGAGCAGACGGCTGTGTTTATTAAACTCAGAGACAGCTGGTGACGCAAAACTGAAGGCTAGATCGTCCAATTTCACAGCTGCTCACTTCTGGCCTACCCGGCCTCCTGAGGACCCTGCTCATGTAGACCACGAAGGACGGGTCCTCAGGAGGATGCAGCCTATGAATTTGGACACCCCTAGAGTGAACTTCGGACATGGCTTCTACATTAAACACAAGCCAAATCCCGATGCCAAAGCGGCGTTGTTTTTGAATTAATTTAATTTTATAAAACTAAATATTTGTATGCTGTATGCATCTTGTCTATTCCTAAGTTGTGAGTCTACACCAGCCATAGTCAGAGGAGCTTGCAAAGAAAAGCGTCTGAAAAGCATCTATTAACGCTGTGGATAAAAACATCAAGTTCACCAGGGAAGACACAAAGGACAACTGTTTGCCTTTCCTGGACTGCGCTGTGCACATTGAAGAGAACGGCAACCTCAACATCGAAGTTTACCGGAAGCCCACACACACGGACCAGTACCTCCTCTTTGACTCCCATCACCCTCTGGAACACAAACTTGGAGTAATTAGGACCCTACACCACCGGGCAGAACATGTTCCCTCTAAGCCTGAAGGAAAAAAGAAGGAACACACACATGTAAAGGAAGCACTCAAAACGTGCGGCTATCCTAAATGGGCGTTCTTAAAGTCAGCAAAGAGGCACAGAAAAGAAGACCAGACACCAGCGAGGGAGGATAAGAAGGACAGACGCAACAACATTGTCATCCCCTATGTAGCCGGTGTATCAGAGAAACTCAGGAGAGTTTTCTCCAAGCACGACATCCCGGTGTATTTCAGACCCAGCAACACGCTCAGACAGAAACTGGTTCACCCGAAAGACAAAACTCCTAAACACAAGCTTAACAATGTGGTGTATGCTGTACAGTGCAGTGAGGACTGCCCAGACCTCTACATTGGAGAGACCAAACAGCCACTTCACAAGCGCATGGCACAACACAGAAGAGCCACCTCCACAGGACAAGACTCAGCAGTCCATCTGCATCTTAAGGATAAAGGACACTCTTTCGAGGATGCCAATGTTCACATTTTGGACAGAGAGGACAGATGGTTTGAAAGAGGAGTGAAAGAAGCCATCTATGTCCACTGTGAGCGACCATCTTTGAACAGAGGCGGGGGTTTACGACACCAACTCTCTGCCATCTATTATCCAGTTTTGAGATCCCTTCCCAGACGCCTTAACGCCCACTCACATCCTGGGCCATCTGATCTCAGGAATTCGCATGATAAGGTGGGGCCAGGTTTCACAGTGAACCCACCCGAGACTCTGGCTGATTGGGGCCCACACCCAGTTTCACACCTTGGCTCAGGCAATTAGAGGATCATCAGGGGTCCTTTTGTCCCTCTGCGGGGGTTCAATCCCACTAGGTTTATATCTGGGACTCTCCTCCATTTGACCTTAGAACTGAAGAAGCTTCTTGGATGAGAGGTGAAACGTCTTCAAGTAACTTAAAGAAGTCCAGACGCTTTTCTTTGCAAGCTCCTCTGACTACGATGACCTGGATGACTGAGAACCTACACAGACATACACCAGCCATATTTCACAGCGCTGTGACTTATGATTTTGAATCACTCAGACTAATGTAGTATCTGTCAGTTTCTTTCTTATTTGAATAAACTCTGGCCAAGAGAGCCAGTGAGGCAAAATCTAAAATACTGTCATTACTCGTTCCCTCCCAGGCTTCTACACTTCTGATTGGCCAACATTTCTAGAAGGTTAGGATTTGGCATGTTCTTGACAGCGTTTGACTTTGTGTTTGCGTTTACATGTGAACAGAGATATTTTCCTTTAAGTGCACATGTGAATGTTTTTTTGTTTTGTTTTTTTAAACAAAAACAGAAATTCCCAGTTTTCAAAAATACCTGTGGACATGTGGATGTAGCCCAAGAGTAAATCAAAACCACCCAGCCTGCCCCAAATTAATGATGGTGATGAAAATAGTGATGATGGTAACAGTACATATATGCACATTTCTTGTAGTTCATCAGCTGATATCCATGATCGAATAGTTAAAAGAAACATGCAAGCCAAGGGCGAAGTAAAGAAGGCATTCAACAAGCGAACCAAGATTAATGTGAGTTTTATAGGCTGACAGAAAATAATACAGACTATCCACAGTTGTAAGGATGCTTTAAAATTAAATCATTTTCCCCCCAGAAACACTTCACTGATGACAGTTTCAAAGTGTTCACAGTGAGCTCCAGAGAGTTCTTAAAAGGGAAACATCTAAGTCCAGAAGAGACTGGTAGGTGAAGTCTCAGTGCACATGATGTTTTAGTTTGCTGTGACTGAAAGAATAATTATTTAATTTGAATTAAAGTGTGTAATGTCAAACGGTGGCACTGAAATTTCTTCTTAACAGAAATAACCAAACTTCAGGGATTTTTGCAAGTTCTCAATGACTGTCACTCAGAGACAGTAAACTATGTGAATGGAGCTTATGGGATTCTGTCTTTGATTCAAGGAGCCAACTCCAGAGGAGTGGTAAGATCAAGTAAAAGATATACAACAACATTCGCTTACGTGTTGGGATTTATCAATTGTCTTTGTGTTTCTTATTTATTTATTTATTTATTTTTAATTAATTTATGGGTTATTAATTGTCTCATGCATTTTTGCTGTTATATTTAGTTTCTCAGGTTCTTATTACAGAAGAGTGACTTTTAAAACCAACTGAATTCAAAAACCTATAAGAAACGACAAGTAGTTTTTATGGCTTTATTACTTCAAATATTTTTCAGGATAGTAAAAAAGGCAAGGTGTTTGCAGAACTTGAGAGAATCATGAACCTCCAGCTTGAAAATGTCCGAAAAGAAATGGAAGAGACCTTTACGGCTTTTGAAAAATGTCTTAATGATGGCGTTGAAAAATCCAAAGGTTCATATGGAGAAAAACTCAAGAACTTCTTGTATCGTGTATGTATTTTAAATCTAGTTGTAACAAAACAACAGATTTTACATGAATATGTGTTTAAATAATTCTGTTTTGTGTTTTAGGGAAAGAACAGTGGTTTTTGCAGGGTACTGAAGTGTGTCGTTGAGAATGGTGGTGTGCACAAACCAAAAAAAGGGACCCTAATAAACCTTAACATGAAGCTGGCTTCATGTCTGACTGACAGCATTGATGAAAAATTCAGAGAGACCTTCCCGTAAGAAAAGACAAGTTCTAAACAGTCACATAATATTATTCAATATAATTTATAACATATAAACTTGCCAACTCTGCCATTAATAACCACAATGTTTATTTGTTTTAGAAATGACTCAGAACGTGGAGCATTCAATGGAGTCATCAATGAATTTTCTCTTAACACTGATTCTCTGATTGAAAAGTACAAAAATGCTGAACTGCAGTTCAGGTTTCTCAGGACAGAGGTAAGAGATGAAACTTTCCTGTCTAAACTAATGGACAGTAAAAGGAAAAAAAATGTATTATGACTTGATGTGATTTTAAAATGATGTTCATCCATATTTCATGTTTTTTCTCTAAGGAAGAAAAAATTAAGGCAAAACTGAACAGAATGATGCGGAAACAGAAGAAAAGAGTCTACAGCAGTCTGACAGAGACAATTGAAGACATTATGGAAGAAGGCTATAAGAGTAAGAAATAAGAT